GTACTACAGCACGGTACTGAGTAACAGGTCACAGTATGTGTTCAACTAGACACAGGTAGTACAGTGCAGTAGCAAAGATCAAACCAGATGTTTCCAAACATTTTCTTCTTTGAGATACACTCAGTGTGTCGTACAACTGATACTTTAAATACCTGAGATTGACAGCACATGTGTACTTGTGTCCAGTGCCCTCAGCAGTGACGGGTCTCCAGCTGGAGAACCTGCACACCACCTGCAGCCTCCAGGTGAGCTGGCAGGAAGCTCTGGGCGTGGCTGATGGATACAACCTGCAGGTGGTGGACAGCAGAGGCAGTCTAGTGGCAAACTCCTCTCAGCCCTCTGGACAGACCAGGCACAGGTTCGACGGCCTCACCCCAGGAAAGAAGTACCGAGTCCTGGTGCAGACCACCAGTGGGGGGGTCCACAGCCTGGCGGTCAGCGCCGAGGCTCAGACACGTAAGACTAACTCAGTCAGGTTAACAGCAGAGCATCAGGGCGCAGAGTAAAATTTGGTCTGAGAAGTAAGTCATAATGTCATAAAGTGATTAAAAAAAGCCCTAATTTGTCAAGAAGAGAAGTTATGTGTTGAGACAAAAGGTTCAAGAATAAAGGTGGAATCTTTTCAAGAAAAACAATCTTGACAAAAAGAAAAACTTTTTTTACAAAAGAACAATGTCATAATTTGCTGAGAAAAGAAATTTCTGTTTTTCAAGAATAAAGATGGCACTCCAATAATAATAATGTCATGATATTTCAAGATGTTGAGGGTTTGTTGAAGGGGGGTGAGGACTTGGCCCTTATTCAGCCTGTGTGGAGTCATGAGACGAGATCCAGGGGGAAAACATACTGACTGCAGCTACATGCACGGAGCGAGCAGCTTGCTCCTCGCTAACATAGAAGACACAGACGTGGTCCGAGGCTAGCTTCTTATATATTATTGGCACAATCAAATCTCGAAAACAGATTTTATTCAAAATATTCAGGTAAACAACAAAAATGCTAATTCGGTCAGGCAGACTGGGCCAGTAGGTGGGACCTGCTGTCACCGTGGAACCGGGGTGGTGGCACCCCAGCTCTCCCTCCACTACAGGTCATAGTATTAAAAATAATAAATCCAAGAGAAAAGCCCGTTTTTACAGGTAAGAGTTGTAAAATCTTTTCATGAATCCACTTGTTCTTCTACAGGCCCTGCAGCTGTCACCAGTCTGACAATTAAAGCCAACTCCACCACCAGTCTGTCTTTCTACTGGTCTCCACCAGAGGGGGACTTTGAGCTTTATGAGATCCTCTTGTACAAAGGTGACGAGTCGCTGCAGGAGAGGCGACGTGTCCAGCACAACAGTCAGCAGTGCTCCTTCCAGGGCCTCAGGCCTGGAGCGCCATATAGGATGGTGGTACTGACCCACAGCGGGGACCAGAGCAACCAGTCCTCCATCTGGGCCAGGACAGGTGAGGGGGTGCAGACCAACCAGTCATTAGATGAATTAGGTGGAAGTAAACAGACCTCCATCGCTGTGGCAACATCAGGATTTCACTTTGAGTCCTACTGTTTGGCTTTTACCAAGAAATCCAACAAGCAGTTGCCATAAAAATGATGAAAATGCCAAAATTAAGCCAGACCTGTAACTTAACAGTGTTTTAATTTGATGTTGTCCAGTTTTAACAGGCATTCAATCTGTATAGTATAGAAATTATTTCTTGTACAGTACATCAAAGGACAGACACTAATATTATACGCGGTCCCTTGAACAGAACTACGACACAGTATTGAGTAACAGGTTAGAATACAGTATATACAGCTGTATGCAGTACTACCACGATTATTATTGAAGGTGGTGATGTTGACAGGTATCAGTTTGTAACAATCTCCGGATGGTTTCCTCTTCAGTCCCAGCAGCTGTGGTGTCTCTGAGGGCCCATAGTGGAAACCAGTCTGATGCTCTGTGGGTGAACTGGGGTTGCGGTGGTGGAGATCTGAGCGGATACCTGTTGTCCCTCTACAACCCTGACGGCTCCCATCGGGCCAGGCGGCAGCTGGGCTCAGAGGTCACGGGGTTCGTCTTTTCAGACCTGGTCCCGGGTCGTCTGTACCGAGTCGAGGTTCTGAGTCTGAGTGGGGAGCTGACCAACAAAGCCAGCACCATGGGCCGCACCAGTGAGTTACCACTGCCAAGTGCTGTGGTTTTATTATCATGGTTCGTAATTGGAACTGAAACTACTGCTCAGTTCACCAGTTAGCTGATGCACTTGATATTAATCTGCAACACTCTCTAGGTACGTTTTCAAAAACAGTTTTTCAGTTGTCAGGATGTTTTGGTTTTTTGTAAGAGTAAACTGAGTGTTTCTGTAGACGTCACTCTGGGGTCTGAGAAGTTAACAGACACTTTCCCTCCATTTGCTGACATTTTATGAACAAAACAACTTCTCAGATAATTGAGAAAACAATCAGTAATGACAGTGGTCCTGGAGTTCAGGAGGTTTGAGACTTGTAGTTCAGACAGAGAGCAAATCAGAAACATGACGGGTGCTGT